TATTATTATTATTATTATTATTATTATTATTAATATTATTATTATTATCAAATTCGTATAAGGTCGGTTTTTGATCTACAGGCGATGAAAAACCCCGACTAAAAATTATAGAACGTTTTAGTCTGTTTTTGACCTTGATTCGATCAAAACCAGCTAAATGATTGTGACGAAAAAGTCTGATTTTGGTCTTGAAACAATAGAAAACAATTTTATTATAACATTAAAAATGATCTGAAATTGGTCTGAATTGTGAATAGTACGGGCAAAAACAGATTAAATTCTCATATAAAATAGATACACATAATAAAATTAAATTGAATGAAAAATATTAAAAAATTTTATTTGACCCGGGATGGTATTTTTCGTGTAAATATACACAAAAAATCATGATAAAAGCGCACAACGAGATTTTGAAGCGTATTTTGTCGGGGAGATTTCGTGGTGGAACCTATATATGGGTACACAGTAAAAAAATTTTCGTCATTGTGTAAAGTGTAAAAATGTTTGTGTAGAATTTAACATTTAAGTATGTTGATTCAACACAATAGAGTGTTGATTCAACACAAATTTTTGTGTTAAATTTGACGAAAAATTTTTTACTGTGTATATCAGGCTATATACATCTAGATATATTTGGATACTGACATATATAACCTAATATGGCCATAGTGGATCAGATCAAAGATTTTTTTCGGTTTTGCTCTGCGAGACGAAAATTTTTTCGTTAAATGATAGTTTTCTTTCTACAGGTTCAAAAGAGACCATCCTGATTTCTTTGGCGTCAAAGTGATATTTTCACTTTCAGCAATAAAAAACACAGCATCTCTACGAAAAATCGACGAATCCATTAGCAAAGCTATCGAAATGAAGAATAAATTCCTAGGATTTTTCGCAGGCTTAGACATGGATGGCTACGAGGACAGAAGAATGCCTTTGAAAAAGTTTGTTGAACAACTGACACAAATAAATAGTGAAATAAAATTTTTCTTCCACGCCGGAGAAACTAATTGGAACGGTTTCGATTCTGATGAAAATGTCTTAGACGCAGTTCTGCTGAATACCTCGCGAATCGGGCACGGTCTCGCGATTCTGAAGCACCCGAAAATTTTAAAACTAGCCAAGGAAAAAAACATCCCTCTTGAAATGTGCCCGGTTTCAAATCAAGTTTTAAAACTAACTCCAGATCTACGCAATCATCCCGCCAGTATGTTGTTCGCTGAAAACTACCCCGTTGTCATTTCAAATGACGATTCCGGCTTGTGGGGATCCACGGGACTCAGCTACGATTTCTACGAAACTTTCATGGGAATAATGCCTCGAAGCGCCGATTTAAGAGCGTTGAAACAGCTCGCGATTAATTCCATAATATACAGCGCGATGGATGATCACGAGAAGCAAAGGGCGCTTGGAATTTGGTTTCAGAAATGGGCGGAATTTATTGGGAGAGTTAACAATTTGAAGGATTTGTAAAATGTTTTATCGATTACATTGCTTTTCAAATATTATAAAGTAGCTGTCAATTGTTTTGCGGTGCTTGAATTGAAATTCATTCATGTTTTTTAGTAAAGCAATTTTTTAACTTTATACCTCAATTATTTTATCCGCAATTGTGTTCTTCAGAACTTTTATACCTAAACATTTATAATTTTTTATTTACAACAGTACACTGAAAGAAATTTTCTTTTAAAATTATCATTGAATTCACGGTAATTGTGGGATGAATGACACGGCTTCATCATTATTCGGTAAATGAAATAATTTATTAATTTTTTTTCAACAAATTTTACCGTAGTCTATCGTAAATTTTTTAAGTTTTCCATAAATTTTATTTAGTTTACCATAAAATGAATGATTTTTTTTTTAATTTTATTTAAACAATGGTAATAAATTAAAGGCTGCATTATATCTGACGATCAAAGTGAATTTAACGTTAATTTTTAAAGAAAATTTCTTTCCGTGCAAATGTCGTCAATATTATTGATATACCTTAAAAGTTGATCTTAAAAAATAAAAAAGATTTTTAGTTTTGTATATTGTCATCTCTATAATTATAATCGAGATTCTATTGAACTTAAAAATATAAAAGTACTCAATAATAATAGAATTATTACATAAAAAAAAGATTCGATACTGTATCTAATATGTTACATCCAATACACTTTCGATACTTAAACACAGCACTTACTATATCACTAAGCCGAAAATAGCATCACTTTGATGCAAAATTAAAATCACTCTTTTATCATTGTACTTTTCATTTTCTCAACCAGATAATAAACTTTAATTTCTTCTCAAATAAAAAATACTTAAATTTTTAAAATGAATTTTTTGATAAAGAAATCACTCGTTTAAAAGCATTGAAAAATAAATAAAGGCACTTATTAATCAGTAGCTCTAAATAAGTAATTCATTAAAAAAATCAAGCAATGAATTACAAAAGTAACATTTTTTTTCTCTTTCGGTCCCTCATTACCAGTTTTTTTGTCCTTGTTCTCCTCTTTTTGCAAAGCAATAATTGAAAGACGACGACAAATTAGCTCAGGTCTGGGCTCGGATCACCGAGCATTCGATTGCCAGCGCAAGAACAGATTTTCTTTTTTCCTATTCTGGCATCGACGTTCTTTCCCAGAGGGCTGTGTGCCATGGAAACGGATTTTTAATTAAAACCGTGACAGGTTAAGAGTATAATAAAAGAAACGAGCTAAAAAAAAATTTACTCCGTCAATATATTGACTTTGAATAAGTATAGCGAAACAAAAAGATAAATTTATAGCTCAGTTCTTTTTTTTTTTTTTTTTTTATTTAACGTGTTCTATTTTTTATTTTTAAATATATTATACAAAGTTTAATTTCCTGTTTGCTCATGCATGATTTTTCATGTAATACGGCGTCAGTTTTCAGCATTGACGTGACAGTCGTTTTTCACGCGGGGAGGTGTTACGGCTGGCATAAAACAATTGGGTTAGAAAAACACGCTTGTCTCTTTGCTGTCAATCTGTGATAATTACTTCTATGCTGTTATTTAGTGGGACGACAGAAGGGAGGGGCGAAGTTTTGATGATAATAAGTGATGATGATAATTATTGATCAATTGGAAATGGAAATTAAATAAAAAGTGAGTAGAGTATATACAGAGCAAAGAGGGGAGAAATAAATGAATACATAGCTACAATGGAGCAAAGCAATGAGGTTCACTGCAATATAAGTATAACGCGGAGTTGTTCAATGCCGAAGAAACTTTCAGAGTAGGGCATCAATGCGTTTTCATCGTTAGCTATTCAAATGGTTCGCAATATTCCTACCTAACTATAGACAATAGTAAAGCGAAACAATGCCCATGTAAAAGTAAGATACAGACCGAAATGACATAAATGTTGGGAGAAACAAACTTATTCTGCCACTGAAGATTCAGATAGGGATGCAAATAAATGTGAACTACAAAGCTATTTGCAGAGCGGTGAATGTACCGTTATCTTGCTATGAATTAGGACATCCAATTTTTGATAGGTTGTTTTGTTCTTTTGTACATGGAGTAATACCTGAAAAAATTCAAGAGATTTATGGTTATTATGCGCTATTAATTTTGAAATCCATAATACTCACAATCTTTTTTAAGATTTTTATAGCACTGCGTGTCCTAAATTCGTATTTAGGACCCGCTCAACTGTTGACAAATAAACAATTATGAAATGAGTAGAGAGGAATTTTTAGGCTACGGGCTCATATTTACGATCAATCCATAGATTTCTGCTCTAAAAATTTGACTTTCACAGCAAAAAAAAATAAAAAAATATATTTAAAAACATTCAAAGCCCCGAAAAAATAGAAAATAATTAATAATTAAAATTACATCTTTTTGTCGGTTATAATTCAATCTGAAGTATGCTAAAACCTCAATTAATGATTCTCAAATGTTTTTTATTAACGATTTCGCTCAGTCGTAAACATTATTCTGGTGTGAAATATTTTCTGAACGTTATTAAATTTAACAAAAATTTTACTCCGTAATAAATATGGACAGTGATAATGATTTAGACGTTGATTATAATGATTTTGTTCCTGACGAGATAAAAAAAAGGGGAAGAATATAGCTTTAGTGCAATTTTTTATGAATAATTTTTTGGAATAAATTTGTTTTTTGAAAAAAATTAAAAAATTATAAAGTGACAGCTAAATTTAATGTTACTTAATTTTATATATTGATTGTTTCAATGTGTGAATTTATTTTTTGTTAATTTATACTAATCACTTTGGATTTATTATTTGATATATATTTGTTTCTTTTTTTTAACTTTTTATTTGTTTTTTGGGACTCGCTTCGCTCGTGCGCTAACTTCACGCCGTGTTATAATCGTTCATTTAAGCAACTCGTATCTTAATGTACTATTTCAGATGATACAAAAAAATTACGGTTTTTCTTGATTATTTTCTTTTATTGGAGAGTCAATGCATATACACGGGAAAAAATAGTTGATGCTGCAATATAATACAGTCCTATTTACATTTATTTAAAAAAAATGAAAATTGAAACATATCAACCTACAGAAAATTAATACAGGTACAAATTTTCGGGTTATCTTTTCTTAAATTATCACTTCACAAAAAAATTTAAAAATTTTGCTAATTTACAGTAGCGTAGACATTTATTCATTCTAGTTTATATTATTTATATTAATTAAAATGTAAATTTTTTTTTAATTTGTTTTGTCCGTATAAAAAAATTTATATTTTAAGAAAAATTTTTCTTAAATCAAGTTTTTTTTTTGTGCAAAAATCGAAAACGAACGAAGTGAACATATGAAGGAAATCAACGTGAAGCTTCATAAACAACAAAATCGAGTGATGAAAGTTATCAACGTCGTATCTCGTTTGAGTCTAGTAGTGGTGACGTAAATTACTTGCCAGTAATGCTATTACTGTGACGAGGTAGTGAAACGGAGCGAAAATGTCTGGTGCATTCAATCTGAAACTCAGAATGCACCCTCATGACATAGATTTTCCAGCTTTACCCAAACATAAACGTTAATTTCGCGTATAAGGATTACCCGCATGCTTTTACCCTCCGTTAACAACGTTACTTAACTTTTTACGATTAATATTGTACTCCAACGAGTTTATAAAGCTCATAAACATAATATTATAATAACGTATGTTATTTACTTTCCATTAAATGACATATGCGATGAAGAATTTCAAATAATATTGTCGCTAAATTAATAACATCTCATGTATTAATTATAAATAAATTTTCGGAAGTGGTTGGTGAATTATTAATTAAGATAGTAATTAATAAATTAATTTTGTAGCTATGAAAATTTGATAGTATTATTAGGTTAAATGAAGAAACTGAGACGGTAAATCGAATTTTGTAATTATGTGAAATTCTAGCTGAAAGTTTAAACAGAGTAAGCCGCTGGAAATTCGACAACGCTGGGATAATGCAAGGTGATCACGGAAAGACTTGTACTTTAATGAAACACGATACTCAACACCAAAGACTCGTAAAACAGCGCTGAGTGCTGTTTAATTTTTTCGTTATCTCTGCTATTAAATAAAGTAAAATAACATAAAAATAAATGATTATTGTTATTCATTGCGACTACTTTATTTTACTTGCGTAATATAGTTTCATCATATATTTATAGTAGTAAAGTTGATTGAATTCCTGATGCACGGAAAAAAAATTGTAATTTTCAACATACGAATTTTTACGATTTAATATCTTAAATTTTAAAATGTAAAATTATGAAAGTGAAGATATTGAAAGTCTGGTCCTGGATTACTATTTTTTTTCTGTGTATGAGCTTGTGTACTTATAAACGACCATATTAGAAAACTTGGTATTTACATATAGGGTAGGGTGATGGGGCTAGTTGATCACTTTTTGGTTCGACCTTCCATAACTTTAAGACGATGTATCGAATTTAATCAAGTCATTTACTGTTAGGTTCGTAATTTAGTCTTCTTCAAAAGGTCTAGCAATACAAAAACGATCCGAGTCCAAATTTTCAAGTTATTTCCGGAAATACGCGAGCGCTCCAAATTGCTCAACGTGCCCCACTAGTGAGGCTAGTTGAGCATGGGTATGAGGCTAGTTGTGCAATGGCTAAAATAGACGGAATGACTGTATAGAATGATATGAAAACAAAATAAAATTGTAATTAACAAGCGAATATTTAATTTATTATAATTCTACGTACGTATAATTATGATTATAATAATAATTATAAACATAACAATATTAATTAATCCGTCGTTAATTGAATCCGTCGAAAAGTGGTTTCATGCTGGAACTACTTTAATATATCATGATATGACTTTGAAGTCGAATAAAATCTGATATTTTTATGTAGAATTTTTTGTCCTTGTGTGCTCAATTTGGTTTGATATAAACGCTGGCCACTTTAGGCCATATATGGGTAAATCAGGCTACATCAGAACATATCTGGCTTAATATGAATTGATATGGT